TTAGTGATCCTTCACAGCCATCTACATTACAACCTTCTTCATTGTCTTCATCAGTCATTTCACCTCCTGAGCAACCATCTCCAGGGAGCATCTGGGCAGAATCAGTATCTTTATTACCATATGTACCATTATCACTGTCATCTCCAAATGAGCCACAGCCTCCAGCAACACAGTCAAATATATCATCTAGTATATCATCAACAACCCCAGCCAATCCACAGTCTCCCTTGGCTGTCTCAGTGGACCAAGACTCCTTTTACCTTAATGCGCCACATCCTGTAAAATCATGGCGCTATGATCCTCTAGCATCTCCGGATTGGGATTGTGCAGGACCACCTGGATTTCTTTGTGCTGGACGAGTTAAAAAGTAAGAATCCAGGAATTTGATTTCAAAGACTTTTCACATGATATGGCATACTATATGTATATATTGTATTTTAGAAATAAGGTTGTTTTGAATACTTTATATATGTATTGATAAGCTGAATAACAAAGAAAAATTGTAACATGATCTATGCTTAATTTCAGAGACCTGAGCAGTATCTACAGTGAGCCACTTCCGGGAATTTTTGTTGTACCTGATGAACAAAACCTCTTTAAAGTCAATTGCCTCATTATTGGGCCATTTGATACACCATATGAAGGTGGATTCTTCCACTTCCTCGTCCGTTTTGGTCCTCAGTACCCTCTCCATCCACCAAGAGTACGACTGCTGACAACAGGGGGTGATACAGTCAGATTTAACCCTAATTTATACAAGAATGGCAAAGTTTGCTTAAGTATTTTAGGGTAAGCACATTCTCTGTGGAGAATACTTTACTGACAGTAGTGATGCCAATATGACTTTAAGTCGTGGGATACAGTATACACGCTGGTGTACAGCATGTATATTTGAAAGATGAAAGTTTGTTTTTGAGGTGGTATTTTTATTGCATTCTAGAGGATTGATGTGTCTTAGCACAGTATTTTATGTGCTAATATATGCTAAAGACTGATTTATAATACAAGTTTCCCCGGTAGAACGTGGGCCGGTCCAGCATGGAGCCCAGCGTCCAACCTCTCCAGTGTCCTTTTGTCATTACAAAGCCTGATGAATGAGAACCCATATCACAATGAACCTGGATTTGAAAAGGTTAGATCCTAAAAATTATGACATAAGTGAAGAGGGAAGTTTGATTGATAATGTTCTTTTTACAAAGGTTATTATTTCTCAAATTAGGATTTTTAATTTTCATTTTTTTATAATTGTAATTATATCTTTTATTTAGAGTACTAGCTTCTGAAAGTTAGTTTCAGTTGTTCTTGAACACAGACAGTATTTTGTGGAATCGGGAATAATATTTCATATAACCAGGATCACTTTTTAAAAGTAGGGAATATTAAGCACTTTTGAATTGTAGTTGTAGATAGGGTCAAATTTTTACTCTTATCTTGATGCTGCTTGGGATTTCATATATGGACATGCCATGCTTACTGTGAGTTTAGTTTATTAATTGTATTTATACATAGATGGCTCCACAGGTTCTTAGCCATCACTGAATTAATTACTCGTCGAACCTGTTGCATCTCCAGTTCCCTGGTTTTTGGGAATATTTTATTTTGATTTATATTACTATGAGTGTTGTTAATAAACTGTGATAATTATAATATCAATAATAATGATAACAGCATTTATATTAAGAGCATTAGAAAAACATGCATTTTTTCCATAACTCAAGGAAGTGGAAAATCAGATAAGGGTACGTAGACTCCTATTGAGCTATCTATGTGTAGATACATTTCTACAGTGAATATCACATGTTCCAGATGGCTTTGTTTTAACCCATTGCCGCCGGGGAAAATGAACAAAAAAGGGGGAAAAAAATGTACTCATTTTTTATATTTTTGTGAAATATCTCTGTCCATAGATGGCTCTACTAGTCCTGATTTCACCTTTCCTTGAATTGGCGGGAAAAAACGTATTCTTACTAGTGATATAAATATAGATGGTGTTATTTTTAACAGCAAATTAGGATAACATTAAATATTTTCATAAATCAATGAAAAGGGTGAACGGACAAGACAGGTGGTACTCGTAATTGGCTCATTGGTGACTTAGTACAGGAGTACCCATCTATGTGTCAAAAACAATCAAACAAGTTGACTCACAGCGGGTATGGCATGTACGTATATGCCATCCCCGGGCGGCAATGGGTTTATAATGATGAAAATCAAATGTGCATTCAACTGCAAAAATAATTATTGTGAAAATTATTGGGAGAATCAATACTCATGTGCAGTTTAGTCCTTAGCTTGTTGCCTCTAAGTGGCACATCTGTTATGTTATGCTGAGAATGACCATCGTATTAGGGACATGTAGATCATGCTATCAGTATCACTGTCTAATCCCAGTTTATAGCCCTTCAGTTATGCAGACTTCACTTGTTTTTGCTGGAATTGAAATCTCAAAATGGACAATACAGTTCATTCTCGTTTATCAGTGGAAATAGTGCAAAAGCCC